TGATTTTTGGTGATTTTTCAAAGTTAAGGTCTAGAATCTGAAAAAAGGGTTTTTACAAAAATGACAGAGTTGACTTTCATAAAAATCTAGCACTTTCTCATAAGGAATTAATTTCTAAGATTATTTTTCATTGAAAGGGAATCAAAGAGCTTGCCACAAAATTTTGAACCACTTCATTTTGATTTTTCTAGATTAAGTTTTGATTTTTCAAAGTTGGACCAGAAAACTGAATTTTTACCAAATGAACAGTAAAAATTTGAAAATCAGCATTTTTTTTTTTGAAAAATTGAGCCCAAGACCATCCAATATGGTCTAAAATGGTTCTAATTGAACTCTAAATCGCTCTAGTAGTAAGGTGTAACAGGAACCAAATAGTTTAGTCTATGATAAGGTCTTAGTTGAATCTGAGATTGTAGTCTTTTAGTTGAGTTTGTGCAGGGCCATACTAAAGGTCCTAACTGCATATGTAATGCTGTATTAGATGACATATCACACTTTTTAAAGGCAGTCCCAATTTTTAACCCTTTTTATTCTCTTAACATTTTAAATCCATTTGATTCAATTATTGCATGTGATTGTGCTTCTCAACAAGAGCATAAAAAAAGGGGCATTTATATGTAATGATAAAATACTAATATTCTAGACATCAAGGTGAATGTTGTTGTTTTTTTTTATATGAAAGAGTTCAGATCAACTGGAATTGTTTTCATTCTTTTTTTTTTGGTGAAAACAAGTGTTTGATATGTAATATATGCATTTTAGTACGAATTATCCACAAATCAAGCCATTGTTGGGTTTGCCACTCATTCTTGTTCCACATCTCTTGCTACATTAGCTATATGTATATATTGAGATTAACAAATATGAGAATAAAGGGCAACTAAAATATCATTGAAAATTGAGGTGGAAAAAGGGCAAAATCAGCAAGAAGGCTTGCAAAACAATGAAAACACTATAATTTCTTGAGAAGTGCAAGTTGCAAGACATGGAAGATCGTTAGAATAAAAAAAGCAAAAACTAATAAGTGTGATAAATTAGTGGAAAAAACTTACAAAATAAACAATTCCTGTAGATTTTTTTACACATTCATTTAAATTAGGTAGACCAAGTCAAAGCAATTTAAAACCCTTATAATTTCAGGTTAGTCTTAAAAATTCATTATCTAGTTCACATTATAAGTTTATTAATAATTTTTGACAAAGGGGTTATCGCCAACGATAGGGTGTAAAGCTTGCCGGCCATGTGCGTGAAGCTTGCTGGTGGTGGGTGTAAAATATGAAGGGAGAGCAAAAATGAACTGTGTCACATGGAAATATTAATCTTGAGTTTGGAGGATGGAAGGCAATTCCATCATTTTAGCAACCATTCCATGGAAATGTGGTGTACCAAACATGCAATAAACCTGGATCTCATTTCCATTTTCTTCCCCTCTTTTCCAGCAACGTTAGGTGAGTTGAGTCCCTCTAGTGAATAAACGATAAACTTTTAAGATTTTATATAAAAAGTTGATGAATGATTCTTTTATTAAAAAAACATTATTCAATGCACGATATCCCCCTAATTCTAAATATGAATCTAATAAACTAATTCACATAAATTAATAAAAATATTTTAATTATTTAGTATTATGTAAAAAATACCTATTAACTTTTCTCCTTCAAAGTTCATAACTGTACCTCACTCAAATTAACCCCATTGACTTGATTGCTGATCGATGTCTGGGAAGAGTCATATTAAGGGTCCTGACTGCAAATGTGATGCTGTGTTAGATGACACATCACACTTTTTGATAGGCAGTCCCAAGTTTTGTCTCAGTTTAATTTGGCAACACAAGCATATTGACCGTAAAAGAAGGTAAAGGGGATGTGAATTTTTTGGATGAATAGATATGTTTATTTTTTGAACCATAAAAAATGTTTTTTTTTATAACAAGGAAACAAACAAACAAACAAACAAAAACCACTACTCTACGAAGCTAAGAAACTAAAGCTACTAGGCTCATTAACGTGCAGTCCACGAGGAAGCGTAAGTGCTCGTCTGGCCAGATCATCTGCTTCCACATTTTCTTCTCGATTGCAAAACTCCATGATAACTCGCCACTTACAAGCAAGTATATTATGAGCTTCTTGGATAAGGTTCCAATGTACATGCATATCATTGTTTCCGTCTCTGACAGCTTCTAGAGCTTCAACACAGTCACTCTTTAGATAAACACTTCGATGGCCTCTATCCCATGCTCTCTTCAGGCCCATAAGAATCCCCCAAATCTCTGCCATTAAGGAATCCCCGTCAGGCAAGTTCAGCATGAACGCTTCTAAGATAGAACCTTGGAAGTTCTTGATAATACCTCCACAAGCTGTTGATCCATTGGTATATGAGAAAGCTCCATCAACGTGGATGAGCACGCTCTCATAGTCTACTTGAGCCACTTCAGATCGCCTCGGGTTAGAAGTTCCTCTGATATTAGCATGATTCAGCTGAGCCCTTGCTCGGCTAAAGCTTTGCACCATAGCCTTAGCGCGACGTACTACATCGTACACACTGGTGTGAATATCCTCAAAAACTTTGGCATTTCGTCTTTGCCAAATGAGCCAACAGATACAAACAAATAGCTCTCTCCAACTACCATCTTGGACTCCTACCTTTTGGGTAAAGTTTAAACCACACCACTCCCATAAGTTGCAATGAAGGAACTGATGAACAAATTGGGATTTAATGACAGAGAGCCACATATGTTTCACCTCGTAGCAGTCCCGTAAGACATGGATCAAATCCTCATTTTCGTGATTACACCAGGTGCACAGTGCTTCTGCTGTCAATTTCTTACGTCTTCTCTCATCGTTCGTCAAGAGCTTGTTCTGAAGAGTGAGCCATATGAAGGTTTTGCATCTCTGGGGCAAGCCTAATTTCCACACTTTGGCCCATATACCGTGTCGAGCCGAATCATCATTATGAAGGAGGGTATATGCAGATTTAATAGAGAAGTTCCCATGCTTTTCCAATCTCCATCTAACGGTCTCCTCACCATTTCTGTTGACAACCTTCTCTGAAGCATGCAGAACCTTATCCCAATTATTCCTTATTCCAAGCCATAGACGAGATCCAGGTCGTTGGCTATTAACATTCGGGATTAAATCCTTGCCACAGCGATATTTGTTTCTGACCACACGGGCCCACAGGGAGTCTTTATTCTTCATCAACCCCCAGCCTACCTTTAGCATAAAGGCATTATTTTGCACTTGCATATGGCGAAGCCCAAGACCTCCTTTCTGCTTTTCTCTACAAACCTCGTTCCAAGATACCAAATGTACCTTTTTCTTGTCAGAAGAACTACCCCATAAGAAGCTTCTAGCGTTCTTTTCCACTTCATCACAAATGGTAATTGGGAGGGTACATGTTTGCATGGGATATACAGGGATTGCTTGTATTACGGAGGAGACCAAAGTATGCCGTCCCGCAAAAGAAATAGCATTCGCCTTCCAGTTACTTAATCTTTTCTTAACTTTTTCCACCACATACTGATAAGTTTCCTTTTTGACTCTTGCATGATGAAGAGGTATACCCAAGTATTTGCCAAGGTCAATAGTGCTAGCGAAACCCAGGAGGTTACTCAGTTGTGAGCACCGATTATGATTCACATTTTTGGAGAAAAAAACTCTCGTTTTGCTTTGACTCACCTTCTGCCCTGACATGTTACAAAATTTGTCCAAATAGTTTCTAATAACCTCCACCTGCTCCACTGAGGCTTCCGCAAACAAGATGAGATCATCCGCAAAGAAAAGATGCGATAAAGGGGGGCCATCCTTTGTCAACCGAATTGGTTTCCATTGATTCTCATGAATAGTCTCTTGGATTAAATGAGCAAGCCTCTCAATGCACATAGCAAATAGATAAGGAGAAATTGGATCCCCTTGACGTATTCCCCTGGAAGGAGAGAATTCCGGTGTCTTACTTCCTTCCCAAAGGACTTGCATTGTGGGAGAGGATATACATTGGTGTATAATATTGAGGATACTAGAAGGAAACTTGATCTCTCTTAAGCATTCCATAATGAAGTCCCAACTAAGTCTATCATAGGCTTTTTCAAGGTCAATTTTAATTGCCATGAACCCTTTCTTTCCTTTCATAGAATTCATGGAATGTATAACTTCTTGTGCAATAATAACATTATCAGAGCCCGACCTACCAGGAACAAAACCACATTGGTTAGGAGAGATAATGTGGGGCAACATACCTTTTATCTTGTTCACAAGCACTTTCGTGATAGTCTTATAAATAACATTACAAAGACTAATAGGTCGAAAATCACGAATAGTCTCTGGTTGCTCCTTCTTGGATATAAGGACAATAAGGGTCCCATTTATACTCTTAATAGAGATGGGATTATGAAAAGCATCCTGTACAAACCTCACAACCGACGGGCCCACAAGCTTCCACTAGCTTTGGTAGAAAGGTGCATTGAACCCATCTAGCCCAGGAGACTTAAGAGCTCCCATATCAAAAATAGCTTGCTTAATTTCTTCTTCAGAAAAGAGACTCCCCATCACATCTAGCGTGTTGTCATCTACTTGGGGGTAAGAAAAACATGTCTGATGCTCACCACTCCTATTGTTATCGTCACAGAAGAGATTTCTATAAAAGTTAAGAGTAATATTTTTAATCTCTTCTTGGTCAAAAATCCAAGCCCCTTCTTCATTCAAAATTGCTTCTATCTTATTACGCTTTCTCCTAAAATTGGCTTTGGCATGAAAGTACCGTGAATTTCGATCTCCCAACATAAACCAATCACTCTTAGCTTTCTGAGCCCACATTAGATCCTCTTGAAGCAAAATATCTTCGAAGTCCCTCCATAACTTCTGAAGGAGGTCGTTCATGGCAATCTCATTCACGCACGTATAAGAGATACTATTTAATCCTTCAATACGATTCAAAAGTTGTCTCTTCCTCCTTCCCAAATGCCCATAAACATCTCTACTCCAAGTGATGATGCGAGACGTAAATTATGCCATATTTTCAAGCCAATTTGTTTCCACGTTCCATGAGTCTCTAACAAAGGACTCGAAGTTTTCATGCAAGGTCCAGGATGCTACGAACCTGAAAGGGACTTCTCTATGATTAGGGCGAGCCTCTTCGCTGTTGAGCCTAAGCCATAACGGATGGTGATCTGATTTTAAGAAAGGAAGATGAACGACAGAAGCATTTAGATAGGTTAACATGAAATCAGAATTGACAAGAATCCTATCCAATCTACTCTCACATCCATTTCTTCTCCAAGTGAAAAAGGGGCCTTTACACCCCATATCAAGTAGATTCATATTAGAGACCCACTCACTAAAGTCACGATCCACACAACTTCCTGTCCGAGAAAAAGAATGTCTGTCATGCATGTGGAGAGTGGCATTGAAGTCTCCGCCAATACACCAAGGACCCGTCACTGTGTTGCTAATATCCAAGAGAGCACGCCAAACTACTCGCTGTTTAATAGGATTAGGATGGGCATAAACAGCTATAAAGAAAGTTCTCTGCGTTCTAATATCCAAACACACATGAACAAACTGATCGTGGGTTCCCAAAATCTCAAACTTCCAAGAATCATCATTCCATAGAACCCATATACCACCACTGTATCCTTGAGCATCAACAATCTCAAAATTAGTGAAACCGAGTCTTTTAGCAATCCTCCTGGCCTTTTCACCTCCTGTTCGAGTCTCTAAAATAGCCAGAAAATCTAACTTGTGTTTTTTACAGAGCTCACCAATTAGGCCTGGAAAGGACTTACTCCCAGTGCCCCTACTATTCCAGAATAATTCATAAAGATATGTTGGTGGCAGGTTAGCCTGTAGGGCCATGACTAAACTCAAAGGTATACCCCTCATTACTTTCTTCGACCGTGTTCATAGTGGTCAGCTTTGATTCCATATAGGTAGCCATGTTGCTACCTACGTACTGGTTCTCATCCACTAACAGCATATTAGACTGCAATCTATTGGGTTCTGTCGTGGCTGAACTTGGCCCACCCTGTTTATGTCCAATTTGCCCCATATCCTCTAAAAGAGCAAATGGGTTTTTGGTTAGGATATGAGTTGGGTTTTGCAGCAAATGGACCTATTTAATAGGTTCTCTAACATGGCTCGGCCCAGTCTTGTTCTCCTTACCTTTTTGACCTTTAATGGTAATCATATTCCTTCTAGTATTTGCTTGCATCACAGGGACCCACTTTTTACTATTGGTAACGTCTTTCCCGAATTTTCTAGGGTCGACATCGGTACCAGTGATAAAGCTTGCCTTTTCTATTTCCTTATTTAAGGACCCAATCTCCATTGACCTTGTCTCTTTCAGAATCTTCTCTTGATGATGCAATCTAGATGCTTTCGGTGCATGATTATCCTTCAATCCCGAAAAACCAGGAGTTCTGTTACGCCGTCGCACTGGTCGTTTGACCAGATTCCAAGTCCCAAGGACCTCCTTGCACGGTGGCTTCTCTTTTCCTGTGTCCTCTTTATTATTCAGTTCACGATTTCGTTTCAGAGCAACAGTCTGGACCTCATCATTATCTATCTTCCCCTCGCTAGTTTCCTCATGGTGGCTTGAAGTACTAGGATCCTTGGTCACTGGATTTGGCACCGAACTCTCTGTTTGTTGTTTTGGTGACAGAGTTTGCAGATCTGGACATGCACCACGATGATGCCCATACTTTCCATAGTGAAAACAGATACGATGGAGCCCCTCATATTCTACAAATCGTTCTTTACCAAAAATTCGGATAGCTAGTGTAAGCCGTTTTTTCAAGTCAAGCTCTACACAAATACGCGCATATCTTCCTCTGGCGGTGAGATAAGTGATGGAGTCCACTTTCAAAGTTTTCCCCACCAGTTGACCAATAATATCAAGACTCTCAGCGTTGAAAAATGCCAAAGGCAACACAGGAATCCTTATCCAAGCCGCAATCCTTTGTTGACATTTCGCTTGCCAAGGATCAAAATTTGGTCGCCACCTCTGAACCATCAAGTAATGATCTGCAACCATCCAAGGTCCTTCAAAATAAACGTAGTTCAAGTCATCATCATTATTAAAAGACACAACAAAATATCCATTATCAATGTCCCTTGTCTCGAAAGCCTCTTTTGTCTTCCATATCTTGTGGAGGCTTGTTTTCATAGCCCATAACGGGATGTTCTTGCCGAGAATTTTGACAATCAGAGACCTACGCCAAGGTGCACACCACCTCTCGTATTGTTCTTGAGTAATCAACAGGGTAGGAATCAAATCAGCGTCGTCGTCATCTGTATCGCCCCCAGTCCCCCCTTGCTTCACCTTCTTTTCGCTGCCCTCTTGCTCAAAGAAGTCCTTCAATCCATCGATGTACCCCCGCCAAGCCTCGTCAAACACGTTACTCCCCCTTGTGTCAAAAGAACAGCCTTTAGGATTAGCGTCCAAAAGTTTGTCCTTGTAGGAAAAACCTTGCGTCCTCTTCTCTGTGGAATCTTGTACAGCCATAGGATCCTCCAGGTCTTGCCGTACCTTCTTTTTATTCCGATCTCTATCGTCCCCATCCTCTGTAGGTCCGCCGCTCTCCACATGGTCACCGCTCATCTCTCTACCCCACAATCTCCGAACCATAAAAAATGTTTTAATCCTTAATTTAATCTTGAGCCATTCTGTTAGATTTCATGATTCAGGAGCTTGCACTATAATGGAGTTCGAATCAGATTGTTTGTGTTTGATTAGCGCTGGAGGCCAGAATTCATGTCCGTGCTGTTTGGACAAAGAAAAAAGTTACCCACAAGCCATTGAGTGAGAACATAATCAGTCTCACCCTCGTAAACTTCAAAATACAAGTTTGAATCTTGAAAAAAATATTTGTTAGGAAGACTTTAACCTTAATATTCCAAGATTGATGGAAATTAATCTCAAGTTTAAAGTAACTTAAGTGACTTGAGTTATATGTTGAGTTATACCAAAAAAAGAAAAAAGTTAGGAGAATAGAAAATGTAAGGATAGAAAATTGAGAGAAAAAATTGGAAACATATAATGTTATCTCTGCTTATAGTTTGATTGATAGGATAGAACATTAAAGGGAAACAATCATAATAATACCCTCACAACGGGATATATTATGTTTCATGTTATTATCTCTATCAAAATAAATTAAAGATAAATTTTATATTAAAATTAACCCCATAAAAAATTTTAAAATCAAATTATTTGAAAAATATATCTTTCTATTTAAAAATAGAAAGAATAAATTTTGAAGTAAAATATAGTAGCTTAGAAAAAAATCAAATTATATGTTATCCAACCCATCAATACACACGAGCTGGGGATGAAACCCCCCTCAAAAAAAAAAAAAAATCTCCCCATGGGTGGGGAGAAAATTTGGAGAATGAAAGTGGTGGGTCCCATCAGTAATTTTCTCTCCTATTTTTCTTTTTTTTTTTTCAGTTTTCTCTTGTCACCCACGAGAGAGAATACTTTTTTTTTTAATTATTGTTTTCTTTCTTCTCATCTAAACAATGGGTCTGGGGATAACTTCCTGAATTTCAGATTTGTGTATGTGGATAGAGGTATTTTTTTCAATTGATTATTTTAAATTTTCAATAAATGATTAAATTCATTAATTAATATTTTAAAATCTCAGAGTATTATTATCTTCTTTATTTGATCAAAAAGAGCCATTCCCCTGCAAAAATTTCCAATACAAGTAAAGGGAACGAGCCTTGCATCCAAAAATATGTAATGGGTCTTCACCCAAAAAAATATATGGGCTCTGTTAAAGTGGGTATCAAAGAAGACATAATGATACAGGCAAGCTTATCGACTCTATCTAAAACACCAAGTGTTGGTCTAAGTGGAAGGAATTTGGGTGCTTTAAACATCATGTCCTGGGTCTGATTCTTGGGACAGTGTGTATGGAGAAAAATATTGTTAGGAGAAGTCCCCGCTACGGGACTTGACAGTACCCCAAGAGATTAGTCTTTTATCATTTGGATGGGAGGATACTCTAAGCATAAGAAGAAAAAAAATCTCTAAAACAGTTATTTTGCACCAGCTTTAAAAGTTTGGATTGCAGTTTTAGTTCAGGAAAAAAGAATGTAGTAGATTATAGTTAAGTGTTATTCACTTTATTCCTTAGGTGGGTTTAAGGCTAACATTTGTACTTATCTCATGATTCGTGATGTTTACTTTTTTACTTAATTTTTCTGTTTTTGTAGGTACATAAATGCATAGAGATGACAAAAATCATGATTTTAAGCTCTTGGAGCTTAAGGGTCAGAAAATAGAATAAGTGGCTCTAGTACCAGAGGAGTACATATACAGAGAGGCAGAGAACTAGTAAAATAGACTCTGAAAGAGCACCAGTGACTTGGTCATTGTTTTCACTGTGAGTTAGAAGATTTCTCAAACATTCGATTGGCTGCGAGATACCAACTTGACTATGGTGATCAGCCAACAACACAGAAGATTCAATCTCCAAGTTTTTTGAGAATTTTGGTGTCTTTGCTATGTCCCTACTACATGTGGCATACAAGGAATCCCAGATATTTGCAGCACTTTGATTTACCTCATCGCCATTATATTCTGTGATGCGCATTCCAATAAAAGGCTTTGTGGCTTTGAAAGGTTGTCATGAATCGATGAAGGACCAGGGATACTGCAATTCTTTATATGTGAGGAAATTAAAAACATGGCATGCTAGCATATGTTGGAATAAGAGAAAGAGGATTTGTTCATGGGAGACATCCTTGACCGAATGAGAGAAGGAAACACATGACGTGCAAGTCCTTGATAACCACAAATAGATAAATATCCAATTTTGATGGGCACTTGATTATTAAAAATCATAGTATCTCTCTAGAATATTTATGTGTATAATTATATTGTATGCATGAGACAAATTAATTTGAAATAAAAATACATATAAATGTTTTTTAATTTTTTTCAAATTAGTCAACAGATTATTAGTTTAGATATCATATTTCTGCATAGTGAAGGGAGGAGGCCTGTCTGCCCCCCGTTTCTTTTTTTTGGTGAAAGGAGGCCTTTCTGCTTTGATTGTGGGCTTTAGCCGAAACACATAGCTCTGAAGGTTGAATCCAATTCCGCCCTGTTTCCGGGCATGGGAGTTTCGACGGACTTAGAGATTATGGAATTGTCTAATGGAGAATTTATTAGAAACAGATAATGTCTGGAAATGAATAGTTCGTGCGAAATGGATGAACGACTAATATTGCAATCTCACGGACGGCCAAGATGAGTTTTAGATGCAGGCTGCTCTGCCCATGAAAAATTTGAAGTACAGCGAATTCGAACGTTGCGTCAAGGTTGAGACTTTGACTTTTTGTAATGACTTGATTATTAAACAACGTGTAGTCTTCGGTTTGTTGGACCAGTACTTTCAATAATTGCAAATAAACAAATGATCCTGTGGCTCTCGTAAAAACCGTGTGCTACTACTCAACTCATTAATATCTAAAGGGTGGATCAGTTCAATTTTGGCTAAGTAGCAGCATAACCAAATTCTTCAGTCTCCCCTTTATCTGCAATCAATCCCCAGGAGAATTAATGATTCACGACGTGTTCTTGATTCTCCGAACCAGATATCCATCAATAACCTCTCTTCAACTTTCCTTAAGAGTTGCATCGATCAAAACATTCATTGAAGAGAATGAAGAGATCACCCCTACCCTAATGGAAGCCATCGATCAGTCAAAGATTTTCATAATTGTTTTCACTGATAAATGCTTCCTTTCCCGGGATTTTGTGTGCAAACTGCGAAAAATAAAGGAGTGTCATAAGAATAAGGGCAAAACGGTGTTGGGTGAGTACTGTGGTTTGAGTCCGTTGGAAG